CAAATACACCATTGACAGATATTCGTGCCATTTCTCTTGGAGGGAAAATGAGTTTATAACAGAGGGACAAATTAACCATCTTGAGAAATCCCTTCCTTATCCGGCGCGAAATGAATAAATTTTAATAGCAACCTAACCCTTAAATTAAATACATAAAATGTCAGAAAAATAATTTCGCGCGCATCAGATCGTACACATTTTCTGCGCAACTTTTAACCCTCAGATATAATGGGAGAGAATATACAAGTAGATTTCCATTATCAATTCAAAACTTATTTTAGAAGGACTATTTAACTCTCTTCATAAGCAAAGGAAACATACACTTTTTGAACCTCTGAATTTGACTCTCCAGTTTTCTCAGTGTATATTAAGAAAACTTTATTTAGTACTCCAGAGTAAAATAATAATAAATAATAATAGTAAACTAAACGCGAATTTAATTCGAAGAAATTAGTAGATTTTTACACTTTTGTGAAATAACCTTTCCACTTTTTCGATGTTTAATAATTCGTCGACTTGGTGGAAAACTGTACCATTTCAAGAATTCGTTATAAACTATACCATTTCAAAAGTTTGTTATAAAACATACCATTTCGATGAAGATCTATAAAAGCGTTGCACTAAAGAATTTGTAATGATTAATAAGCAATTAATTTAAATTATTAGAAATTTTGAATTAATACATCGAAAAGATGAACAAGAGTATATTTAAGATACCGTTTTTTAAAAAAGCATAACCTTATTTTATGTCTAGTAGCAGTGTTGACAAACTTGGAAAAAAAGCAAAAACTTTTTTTCTCGAAATGGTATGTTTTAAAACAATTTACCGAAATGGTACAGTTTATAACGAATACCTGAAATGGTACAGTTTTTCACTAAGCCGACGAATTATTTTCTCCAGGGTCGCCAATGACAATAAAAATAAAAACATCTGAGTATGCCAGTCGGTGAGTGCAAAAACTGCCCATAAATGCAAACAGCAAAGTCTCAACGGTTTCTGGTAGTTTGGGGGCTCCTTATAAGAGCCCCACAGTTTGCTCTCGATTTCCGGGTGCGAAAAACAGTGTAAACAATCGCCAAAGTTTGGAAAACATGGTTTTTCGATGCTCGCTGCTTCCGGTTAAGTTTTAGGGGAAAAAGTTGTTATTGAAAGTTATAGAGCTTGGAAATACCTTTCAAATGATGGGTCATACGTTAAAAAAGGTTAATTAGTTTAGTTGCAAATGAATTTAAACCATTAAAAATAGCACTTCTTTAATTGTTTAATAACTTTGTTAATAATTATCGAATTTGTTCATAACTTACCAGGAGTTCCCCCACTCCGCCGTCCAAGGGTTGAAAAAAATATTCAAGTACTTTCACTTGATATAAATGAAAAATAAAAGCACAAAACGTTAAGTTCAATTTTTTTTCATAAAATACATGTTTTGAACTAAAAGTCGTGCGAGTTTCAATAAAAAATATCAATAATTAACTTGTCAGGAATTTTTTTTAAAAAAAAGTTAACTCCCCCTCCCCTTCAAGTTAGGTCGGATTTTTTTCTTGAAAAGTTTTGTGGAAACAAATGGAATTATATGCCGTTTATAGCTAATTGATAAAGTGAAAATTGGCTGAGTAATTCCATTTGTTTATGACAAAAAAACACACCCTTTTTTAACCCTTTTTATTATGCACTTAGATAAAAAAAATCAATTGGACATTTAAATAGGATGAAAGTTTGACTTCTTAAGTGTACTTTCCAAAAGAAAAAATCGAAATTCGATGTACCAAAAGTGGGGAAATTCCGTTGAAAAATTACATGTTTTTAGTTAACAAATGGAATTATGCATAAACTATTTCTCCGATCTAGTTAATTTTTTTTGGGATTTATTCAGCTACGCAATGAGAACATTCCTGGTAAGTTATGAACAAATTCGATAATTATTAACAAAGTTATTAAACAATTAAAGAAGTGCTATTTTTAATGGTTTAAATTCATTTGCAACTAAACTAATTAACCTTTTTTAACGTATAAAAAAACCCATCATTTGAAAGGTATTTCCAAGCTCTATAACTTTCAATAACAACTTTTTCCCCTAAAACTTAACCGGAAGCAACGAGCATCGAAAAACCATGTTTTCCAAACTTTGGCGATTGTTTACACTCTTTTTCGCACCCGGAAATCGAGAGCAAACTGTGGGGCTCTTATAAGGAGCCCCCAAACTACCAGAAACCGTTGAGACTTTGCTGTTTGCATTTTTGGGCAGTTTTTGCACTCACCGACTGGCCTAGTAACTTTGTAGGCAATATATTGAAATATTATTTACAAGAAGATCCAAATTAAAATAATTTACCACATAAATTTTACATACAAAAGAATTACGCGTTCCATATTTACCTCCCCACACAGCACATGATATTTCCTAAATATTTCCTTAATATTTCACTGAAAGATTGAAATATTTCAGTGCAAGGTTCTTGAAATATTTCTGCAAATTGAAAATGTCCGCCTATATGAAATATTGACGCGAAAGTTTAGAAAATATTTCATTTAAATATTTTGGAAATTTTCAACTTAAATTATGCGCACTGGTCGAACTCAGTTTCTATGGCCTGTAGAGCTGTGCAGTAGTTTTTGGCTTACTATATCCTATGGGTTTTAAAATATTTCAGAAAATTCCTATTGGTTTCAGGTGTTTAACAAATTTTTTAATTTTGTGAAATATTTTCAGAATATTGCAGAATCGTCATGTGTAATATTGCAGGAATATTTTCTAAACTTTCGCATCAATATTTCACATAGGCGGAAATTTTTAATTTGCAGCAATATTTCAAGAACCTTGCACTGAAATATTTCAATCTTTCAGTGAAATATTAAGGAAATATCATGTGCTGTGTGGGTGATGTTCCATAATTACCCCTGTTGACGGTACCTATGAAAAAATGTTTACCATTAATCAGTAATTAAAGCATCATATAGACATCCTTCTGTATTTGTATCATCATCATCTGAGCAGTTTCTGACCAACAGGTAGCCATCAGACACAGGTAGTCGTTGCGGAACGGCCCGGCGCGCTCGGTAAAGACCCTTAAGTCGGTTCTACAATGAGCACGGTCGTTCGTGTTCGCTGTCGTGAACGTGTACGCGTTCCAAGTCGGTTCTACAATGAGCACGGTCGTTCGTGTTCGCTGTCGTGAACGTGTACGCGTTCCATATAGTTTAGCGTGGAGCACGTACACGTTCACGATAGCGAACACGAACAACCGTGCTCATTGTAGAACCGACTCCATATAGTTTAGCGTGGAGCACGTACACGTTCACGACAGCGAACACGAACGACCGTGCTCATTGTAGAACCGACTTTTAGTAGAGTCTACATTCCATGGTACGCGAACGTGAACGTGTACGCGAACGTCTGACGTCACCCATGCTATTCAAATGGGTGACGTCAGCACGGCAACGTTCGCGTTCATCCAATGTAGACTCAACTTTAAGCAGGTTCTACATGGGATACCCGACACGTGAAACGGGCCCCCTCTCCAATACCAACTTTTCCTACGTGATGAGGGAAAAGCATTTGGTAGATGGAGCAGAGGGGGCACGTCTTGTCGTGTCGGGCATCCCATGTAGAACCTGCTTTAACCCTCCATCCGTCGCACCTTTTTTTGTAACGCGATCCGTTGAAGGTGAGAGAAATTCTCACCCTCATAAATTAGTCCAAACTTGTTCTAAAATGCTAAATTTTTTTTTGAATGTTCATTAGAATTTCTAAACAACCTATTGGCAGTAAAATTAACTTTTTGCTGTTTTCAAATTCAATAACAAAGAAATTAAAATATAAAAAAACACAAAAATTGTTTTAATGTAAAGAAGAAGAGTGTTGTGAAAGGTAATGAGAATATAAAATTATAATTTTTTGTATTTTAAAAGTTATAAATAAAAAAAGAAACTGGGTGAGGGAAATTCTCACCATGCGACGGATGGAGGGTTAAGCAAGGAGCTAAGTACACTGGAAACACCGAAGAGCGGTATTCCGAAGAGCGAAATAGGGGTGAGGCACGGTAAACAGACGGAGGGAGAAAAATGGGCGGGTTCAGAAACTGAAATCTACAAGCAGGAGCCTACAGTTAAAGTGATCCGTGATGTTCGCGCCCTGTGTGCGTCACGCTTTGGAAAAAATTGAAAGGGACAAATATACGCGTACGGCCCTGTGTGTTTATAGATTCTAACCTCTCCCGGCCGTTCAAGGACAAACTCCCAAGAGCGGGGTAAAACTAGCCGTTCGCTCTTAAGAGTTTTCAGTGTGTGTCGAACGATCATTGAGTATTCGGTTCAATAAATTATAAAAAAAACTACGACTTTGAAACATTAAAAGGATTCGAAGCTTATGTAACACAAAATTATATAAGCTTGCCATATCCGTAGTATTTAAGTGTCTATTCAGTAGGCACTGAGATATGAAATATTTTTATGACGTCCTTAGGATATGCTCAGGATGTCTATGTGTTTTTCGAACGGAACAGACATCCTATAAGGATGCCTCAGTGCCCTGAAGGTATCTCCATTTTTAGGGTTTCGTGGCCCATGGCCGAAAGCCTTATAGTTTCACTTTGGCGTCCGTCCGTCCGTCTGTCCGTCGTAATTTGGGGCACTATAGTTCCCAAATTTGGGGCATTATAGATCCCAAATTTGGGGCACTATAGATCCTAAATTTGGGGCACTATAGATCCCAAATCAGTCAGTCAGTCTTAACCACAATGGTTTATGATAACCAAAACAGGATTTTCTTTTTAAATGCAACGAAACCCTAGATGTAGGCGTTTTGCGCCTGCTTCTCTTCCAATTTTTGTATAAGATACTGTGATTTTAGTGGAGCTGTGTTTTTTATTCACATCGGTTGATGGAACCGACAATTTCCGACGGAAGAGTATATATGAATTTGTATGTATAATAGTATGCACGCTACGTTCAAAATATATTATCGTTGGTATTTTTAATTCACTTATTACATTTCTTGTTTTCATTCTCTTCGAATGAATGATAGGTATTCAAAACCACATATTATCATAGAAAAAGCAATTCCGGTTATTAATAAAATTAATGCAAATGCTACTTCATATATTGTAACGCTGTTGATAGACATAATATCCTTCCTGCAAAGAGGTTTCCGTGCTGACCATCTATTTACCTGTCTTTGTCGTATTCCCACTTCAAACATCTTAACTAATCTGTGAATTCAAAAATTAATTAACATTTTTTTAATTTATCAAAAAATGGATGAAACTATTGTTTTCCTTACTAAAAACCAATAGAACTTACAATGTACAATTGAATTGACGTCAAACAACAATTTTTAAAACAAGATTCAAGTTTAGGGCTCACTCTTAAGAGGGTGCCCAGTAAGAAAGCAAAGATTAAGAAGCATTAAAAAAATTCTATCCTTTTGAATTCCATTTCTGTTCTATGCTTCTGAATTCCGTGACAGTAGTTGAAAGTTTACAATTTCAATTCTTTCAAATGCTCATACAAATATAGTATTATAATATAATACTAATATTGTTGACATTGCATAGAATGTTCAATTACTTTCAAATAACTGCACTCATGACTTTATTTGCTATTTTAAAAAGGAATAATTATTAAATTATCAGTTAAGAGGGTTAAAAGTGTTTAAAGGTCTCTGAAATTTTTAGGTTATGATTTATTGTCTAACAGAATAACGGCCCTGACTCGTTTAAATGACGTAAAATTGGTAAACAATCAATTTTTCAGCAAGTTTTTCTTTGAACACAAACACTTTTTACAAAATCTGCCAATGTATGTATTTTATAAATTACAAAAATCCAGAAGATTGCTTGAATGTATGCAGAAACGCGGTTCCAATGAAAAATTTAAAAGTGATGTAATGACAGGCTGTAATAATTTCGGATGGGATTGGAAAGCATTCAGAAAAAAATTTTGTCTTTGTTAACAATTACAAACAAAATTGAATAGCATTCATTTTTAGACGAAACGTGGTCCTATCATGGTATAGAAAAGTATTGGACAGAAATGGCATTCAAAAGTATTGGATAATTTCTACTACACCATACAGAGTTTGAATTATTTCAATCCTTTTCAATTCCTCGCTTCTTACTGGGTGAGTAAATTTACGTGCTTCTTTTGGGTTAGAAATTTCAATAAACATTTATTCATATTTCTTAAGAAATGTTTTGGGATAGTAATTTTATGATACTAAAAAATATTTTTAAAAAAAATTCGATTATTTAACAATTCTTAACAAAACAGTTCTCTTAATGAAATTTTTACAATTTAGGTAAAAAGTTATTAAAAATCGATATTTACATTTTTAAATTAATTTTTGTTAAACTTTATTAAATTTGTGAGAATACTTACGCAATTTTTGAAATTTCAAAAAATGTCCCATTCCTACTAACGAAGAAACAAAATTCAGTTGGTGGTACAAGATGCACTTCGGTTAGTTCACAAATTTCTTGATTATCAAATAATTTTCCGATTAGAGGATATCCAACTATGGGATCTGTGTGGTAAGCTATCTTTCCTTGTTGTACTAGATTTATTCCTTCTCTTGGCAATAAATACCGCTGTAGTTCAGGAATTTTTAACCATTTATTTCTATAGAAAGTTTTTGTCTCCCAATCGGTTCCCTATAAGTCGTAAATTATAAATTATCATGTACTAATTGTAAAATATCTATAAAAATAATTATAAGTGACTTAATACTACTTTTAACTTGTTACCTGCAGAAAATACTCAAGGTAAATTTGATGTTCCGATGCTAATTTCATATCACTTTTTGATAGTGAATAAAGTGAATCATTCATTTTGTTAAGAGGTTCATTCAAACGTGAGGAAATTATACTGGCTGAATAATAATTATACATCAAAAGACTAAACATCATTGTACTTAAAAATCCCATGCGATAATACGACTTATTAGGAAAAAATGCTGAACCTATATTTAAACATTAAAATGGTTAAGATTCAATAAAACTTTCAAAGGGAAATGATCTGAAAATATCTGAGATATTGGGATGTTAGAGATATCTCTGGGATGTCCTAGGCATATATTGCATCTATTTCTAATCTGTCGATTTGCAAAATAGAAGTATAATTATACAGATACTACCGTCGAATATTTTCAGTCCGATCAACCGTCTAGTGGTTGACTTTGACAAGACTTCTTATACACGGAGAATATTTGTTCCAAAATTTATTCAAGAATTGAGGATGCGGAAAAAAATTTGACATTTTTTCTAGAAAAGTTTCAGTTTCAGTTTTTTTTGTAATGACTTCGAAATAATTATTCTTGCGTCGCGACATATACATATGATGTGTTAAATTTTGCTTTGATATTGTGGGTATTGGCCAATAGCTCTCGCATCTATTATAATCAATTCCTACGTAGATCTCTCACAAGCGCAATACGGGCTCGGCTTGTATAGCATATACAAGTTCCGAATTCGCTTACCGGGTTTGACTTGATTTCTTCGGAATCGGACAAGGTACAAAAAAAAAATAAAAGTAAACTATAACAAAAATTTTTAATATAAAAAAATAATAAAAAGTTTATGCAAATAGGAAAAATTGTTGTAAAAACTCGGTTAGCTCATGCATAACGACGCTAGGGCCAAACAAAATTTTTTGAAGCACATCTGATGTCTTTTTAACCAAGAAATACAATTATCGTCCTAATTTTGAAAAATTCGCAAAAATTTTAAGATGGCGCCTAAGTAAAGAAAAAGTATCTTACATTACCCGATTAGTAAAAAAGTTAAGAAAAAGAAATATAAAGTTTCTTAAGGTTTTCGCGGACGCTGATTGCAAATATGAACTCAAATTGACAGTTGACATCTGTCAAAGAATCTGTCAACTTTTATAAAAAGTGACTTTGTTTATGCCAAAGTGTCCATAACAGAGTTTTTACAGTTGCTGATTACGAATTTCGTGTCCAATTGACAATTTGACAGTTTAAAGCTGCCAAACCATCTGTCAACTTTTATAAAAGTTATTTGTTCTTAATAAAAATTACCGTAAAAGGCTTTTTAGAATTACTTAGCGCGCACATGAGTGCTTTTCTTGAACACAAAACGTGTGCGTGTTGCGTTGATGCAAGTCGCTAGCGATAAAGTGGTGTCCGAAGCTGCATCTACAGAGAAAAAAAAGTAAGAAACGCGAGACGCAGACGCGAATTTGTGGAATAAGCATAAGCGTTCCCCCACCATGTGAATCAAGCGAGTAATTGACAAATTTGTAATCAGTGACCACAATAACCATTTTACAGATTTTTTAATTTAAGATAATCACTTTTTATAAGAGTTGGCAGTTTGATTGACAGCTATTAACTGTCAAATTGTTATTTTGAACTAAATTTATTATAAGCAACCCCAAAATCTCCTTTGCGATCATTTTAATAAAAATAAATCACCTTTATGTCAGTTGAGTTTAAATTCGTAATCTACGACCCTTAAAACCCTTTTTGGTCATTTTCTTCATAAATCACTTTCACAAGTGTTGATAGTAGGTTTGACAGCTGATAACTGTCAAATTGTCAATTGGACACCAAATTCGCTATCAGCAACTGTAGAAACTCTTTTATAGGACACTTTGACAAACACAACATCACTTTAAATAAAAGTTGACAGTTTCTTTGACAGCTGTCAAATTGAGTTCATATAAGTTAATCAGCGACGCCGAAATCCCTTTTAGAGTCATTTTTACACGGAGAAAAATGGAAAAATGATTTATGCAGTCAGTGTAGTACTCCTTTATAGAATAATATGTGACAGGTACACACTATAGTATTAGAAGTTTCATAGCTGAACACTTTGGGACTCAACACAAGTTATCCCATTCATCAGCTTAAACAAGACTGTTTATATAGTCTAAGAGGGAATAAGAGTATAAAAAATTGGAATGAGAAATTACTTTCTCATGTAATTGTTAAAAGAACGCGGCAGTGTACAAAACACAAGTCAATAATAGAAGCGAATATTGAACAAATAGTACTCAGTCCAGTTCTTTCGAAAAATGAATGCCGTGCACATAAAGTAGATACCTACTCGAAAACCACAAGTTATTCTCTCTCTCTCTCTCACACTAATGGTCGTTCACTTATCTTACCGTTTCACTTACTCTTACTACTCTCAACTATTATGCAGTGCAGTTAAGTTCATTAAATTACCATGAGGTAACATGGTTACATAACCATGAGGTCAAACTTAAAAAAGGTTTCAAGGCGAAAAAATTAATGTTTTTTATTTATTTATTATTAAATTCTAATAACCGTATCAAATTTAAACTAGTTGACAATATTATTTATTCAATATTATGAATATTGTTGACATCCATACTCACATTAATTACAAAGTAAAATTCACGCATGATCTAATTTATTTCATTGGTAAGGGATGTTTCTTAAATAGGAAATTTTCCCCATCGATTGCGTAGCCGAGAGGCTTAATGTAAAAGCGTGCGATTTATAATTATATGCGTATATTTAGTTGTATGGTTAGGTAGGTGTTCAATCCCGTATGATTGTAAGATTTTCCGATGCATTTAGTTGTTAATTGTAAGTATGAAGATGTGGGAAGAATAAAACTTGTGAATTAAGGAATATGAATATATAAAGAGTGCATTTAACACATTTTTCTTTTTTTTAATGATTGGTTATTGTTTTTTTCATATAAAATTGACGAAGTGAATAAAAGGAAACACTCGTTTCGCGTCGCGTCGGACATTTATTTTGACAGGTTCCGCGCCTGCGTTCCCTCATTGTGAAAATTTCGAAGTAGGGGACTGAGTCCAGTTTCTCTACTATGCACACTGCAGCGCGCCTTATAATCTTCGCCTGTGTTTCAATGCTCTTTACAGTGACATTTGGAACTAAGGCCCTCTATACACTATACGCAACACCCTAAGATGCTTGATGGAAATGAATTAATGTACTTTTACTGGACTGAGTCCAGTTTTTTCAATATTGACTCCCAGTTTTTCAAACTCTATTTTTCTCAGTGTATCAAAAGTAAATTACTTTTTTAAAAATTGACAGTTGGTTTGATAGCTGCCAACTTTCAAATTGTCAACTTGACATCAAATTCGTCCCGAAAATCCTAGGAATGGTGTCTTATTGGTTTATACCTTGTCTTTGTTTTGCTCGGGTGTTAACCCTTAAAGCGCACCCTGGGTGTGCAACTCCCACATTCTAGCTTTTTACTCTAATATCTGAAATTCGTAAAAATTGAACATGTAACTTTATGAAGTTGACGGCGAAAAATTTCTGTTTGGCTGACGCCCAGTTTTCGGTTTAAGGTAATTTCAGTAATTTAAAAAAACTTATTTTTAATTATTAAGATTCAATAAATCATTATGAAACCTATTTTGTGGAGCTGTGCAAAATTCGAACCGAACCGAGTTTTAGTTCGGTTTTGGGGCCCCGAAATGTCGAATGTCGAATATTCGACATTCGAACTGGGCGACTGAAATGTCGAATTTTAGAATTCGACATTTTAGCGTACTAAAACCGAACACAACTCGGTTCGGTTCGAATTTTGTAGTAACTCGAATGTCGAATATTCGACATCCGAACTGGGCTAGTTCGAATATCGAATTTTCGACATTCGAACTAAGCTAACTCGAATGTCGAATTTTCGACATTCGAACTAGGCGGAAAAATTCGATCAGTTCGGTTCGAATTATTTTGCACACACGGAGAGAAAAAGAAAGTTATACCAACCGGAGACCCCGGTTAAAACTACTTGACCGACACAGGCGTTAACATAACCTCTGATTCCCAAGTCAGCACAATTTGACAGCCAGGCAGTTTTGGCCTGGCTGCCTCAAGTAGTGTCAATGGCTGGATCGATATCAGTAGTAAATTTTTTTTTTGACTGACGAAAACTAAAGACTCAACAGGAGAGTCAAGTCAAAACGGCCTGGCTCTCCGGTTATCATTACTTGACTTCATAAAATTAGCATGACGACTCAAAAGAAAGCAGTTAAAACTTTCTTTTTCTCTCCGTGTAGCTCTACTATTTTGTCAAAATAGATGTAGTACGCTATATATAAGATAATTTTTCCAAAAGATAATATCCTATTCCAGCTTGGAGAACACACTTTAAATTCTCCGGGTGTCGCATCCCCAGTGTGCGTATCTTGTGAAGGAGATAAATCAACACAAAGAATTTAAAAAAATAACAAATTACACTTGTGTATAAAATTTTGTAAATAGTGTAAAAATGTTGCTTATCGCTTTTAATTACTAGACTGTAAACATCTGAACATTTGCAGTACTTTTGTAATGTTCAAAGAAAGTTAAATAATTGTTATAAACAAATTTTATTAACAAACACTCAGAAAAAAATTTGTTCGAAACAACCAAATTTTGGTTGAATCAACCAAATAAATGCATTGCTATACAGTCAACCAAACGTTTGTTTGATTCAACCAAATAATTTCTTCCAATACGTTTATTTGTATTAACCAAATGGTTATTACACTTAACCAAAAAATTTTATTTAATATAACTAAAAAATTTGTTTATTTCAAGAGAAAAGATTTGTTTGATTCAAATAAATAGTCTTACACTGCAAAAACAAGTGTCTCATTTTGAGACGTTTTGTCCCATATTTGAAACACATAAGATGTCTTAGTCCACATATTTGAAACAGATATGTGTCTCATTTTAAGACGTTTCAAAGTGTCTTACACATTTAGCAATGCATTTTGAGACACGAAATGTGTTTCGAGTATCCGTCTCACACTAAGAAGACGTTTTACGTGTCTTATATGCATTGAGTTACCTTTGTAACGATAGCGTTTAAAATCTAGTGTGAGAAATTATATTTCGTACAGACAGTATATCTATATATACTACAGCACGTTCAGCCTGCTAGTCGCGAAGAGAGTAGCCACCGCGCACATACC